GGGAATGGCTCAAGCCCCAACATCACACAATTAGTCCTTGATACCCTAGTCCAGGCAGAAGACTCCTCCAAAAGGCACAGCTCCACAGGGGGAAGTGTAGGGGAGAGGTGGCGGTGACAGAGAATCCAGAGAATGGGGCTATTGCATTCCCCAGGCTGATGGTGTCTGTGGTGTGGGAGAATGACTCAGTATAGGGATCCTGGAGGCATCCCTTCAGCTGTCTTCCCAGAGCCACAAACCCCAGTCTCTTCTCACACAACTCCAGATCTCTCTGCTCTCCCTCTGCCAGAGCCCAGGGTGAGTGGCTATGAATGAGATTTTGTGCATTGGCCCTTTAATAGGGCACCTATGTCTCTAGCAGACTCTCATCTATTCCTGGTGGACAGAATCCCTGATTTTCACAGTGTTATATAGGTGCCTCTTCCTGGTACTCTGGGCTGGGGAGTTTGGCTTGAAGCTGAGGCCCCTCACTCCTCAGGGGAGTAGCTCCCATATATCGCACAGCTGAGACATCCCTCCAAACCTCAGCATCGCTTGTGGGAGCAGAGCCAGCTCTTTTCCCTTTCCCTGCCCTTCCTACCAGTCTCGATGTGGCTTCTTCTGTAAATCCTTGGTTATAAGACTTCTTTCTCTTCAGCTAGTCTTCAGTTGGTTATTCAGGTTGCTTGCTCTTTATTTTAGTTGTAATTCCAGGAATTTGGTCCTGGAAAGAGGTGAGTATAACTTCCATGTACTCTGCTGCCATGTTGGATCCCTTCTTTCTAGAGACTTCTAATTCATAACGGAAATATGAATGTATGCCCATAGTAACCTATGCCAAAGACTTCATGTTTTACTTAAAGTAATAAATTTACTCTGTGTTTGCAAATACGATGCTACTATGGACTGAATGTGTGCTCTCTACATCCCTAGTTTGAAGTCATAAGCCCGCATTCTGATGGTACTTGGAGGTGTGGCCACTGGGAGGTAAGCAGGATTAGATTATACCATGTGTGTGAAACACTCATGGTGTCCTTACAAAAAGAGGAAGACAGCAGAGTTCTGTCCCTCTCCCTGCATGCACCCAGGAGACACCAAGTAAAAACTCAGGGAGAAGAATGCTTTTACTGGGACCTGACAAGGTAGGAAAAGGCACCCAGCAACCTTTCCTTCCTCTACCTCTTATCCTTGGGCAGAGGAGCACAGCATTCTCCCCAGCACCCGCCTCCCTTTCCTTTTCTACTTTCCTCTCATCCTTGAAAACAAGAGGGGGAAGTCTCCTGTGCATCATCACCTTACTTTCCCTTCCCCACCTACCTCTCATCCTTTGAAAGAAGTGTGTGTGTGTGGGGGGGGAGAATTCTGCCTACCACACACCTCCCTTTACTTTTTCTACCAACCTCTTGTCCTTTGAAAGAAGTGAGAAGATGTGTCCACAGCACCCATATCCCTTCTTACGTGCCTCTCACCCTTGGCAAGAATTGGGGAAAATTCTCTCCATTACCACTTCCTTTCCTTTCTTCTTTTCCTTGAGGAGAAGTCTCTCTACCACCTTTTCCTTTTCCTACTTACCTCTTATACTCGGGGGAAGAAAGTGAGGTGATACCTCTATAGAACCCACTTTCATTCCGTACTTACCTCTTGTCCTTGAAAACAAGTGGGGAGATGTCTCTCCACCTTCCTAGCTACTCTCATCTTTCGGAAGAACTGCAGAGGAGGCCATGCCTTTCTGTTCTGTTTTCTACCTATCTGTATAATGGGCTTGCTATCTCTGAAGAGAGGCTCACTGTATGTAATACATTTGCCTCATTCTGCAGCAGTGTTTCTTAGTCTTTTTTAACCCATGCTCTATCACTCACCCAATTGATAAACATAAAAGTTCTATACTTAATACCACTTAACATTAAACACAAAGTTAAGTATCTTGACTAAAAGGAAATTGTAACAGTGAGACAACCACACACATACAGTTTCTCAATCATGCTGTCACCATGTCCCACTCCCCCTGCCTTAGTGACTGACTACTTGAAGACTTATCTGACCTATTATGGCTTAGCAACCTGATTTCACTTGCACTTGAAGCAGGGTGATCCCTTGGAGCAGACTCCCATTGCCACCAAACTTCACAAGACTGATGCAGAACACTAGAAGGCTGACTCATTTATTGGACAACAAATTTTAATGTCATATAGACCAGGGAACTTGTACTGATACCACCAGTGAGTACATGTTCTCCTTGTGGTTGACCTGTACCAGAAGTTCAACCAAAATGAGAAGGTTGCTGGTGAACATGGAATTAGGACATGAAGCAGAAGATGAATCAAATTTCTGAAGGCCTGAGCCTCAGCTAGCCTGATGCAGCCAATTCCTCAGTGGGGTAATCTTGCCAATAAAGCCACACGCTGTTGGCAACAGTTCTCTGCATCCTTCTCCATAATAGACATGTCCTTCCAATACAACTGCTACATTCTATCTTACGTTTTGGCCAAGACTCCTCTCTCCTCTGGATAGTGTTTGGATGGGTGCTGCCAAAATTTGCCTCTGTGACTCTTTTTGTCTATACTGTTTGTATAACCAATTCTGTCTAGGTGTTTTAATACACTCAATTAGGTTTAATGGAAACCTTGCAACACTAAGACCCAGGTTATCACTTTCGAGCATTTTATCTATTTCTGTGCAGTATTATGGGTTCATTTTAAAATTAAGCTCTAGGAGGGTAACCTTTCTCTCAGCTCTTGGGGGATGACTTGCTGTGTCACTCCTACTCACGGCAGTTTATTTTTCTGTGTGCATATGTAGTCACCTACACACACTCACACCCATTTGTATGGTTTTTTTAAAATTAGAATTTAACCCTTTACTCAGCAGCATCCCACAGGGCCAGACTGTTTTTCCTTAGTTTTTAACCGAACTGCAGAATCATACAGTTTTGAACTAAAAGCATAAGATTTAACAAAGATGGTAAACGTGAAAATACTGCCCGGTCCTGAAGTAGTTAACCTACCGTGGAAGTGATCGAAGTGTCATCTCTGTCTGCATGACACATGCATCCCCAACAAGGGAATCATTTATATCTGAGGTATATAAATTTAAAAGTACTTGAAAACCCTTTTAGACATGTCTGATTTGCTCACCCTGTAATGCAGAGGGGGAAGCATGGGTTATGCTCCCTCGAGAAGATCAATAACACTCAGCACAGAAAGAGCTTCTATACAGTTGCTGAAGGAAGTGCTGGTTCTGGGTCAAAGGTGAGTACGGCAAACCCCACCCCCCAATTTGGCTCTCGTCTCAAATAAAGCCATTGTTGTCACATCCTGCTACAGGGATGTATTCATTACTGAGTGACAACTAGCTTCCATGAAGCTGTTTTCACTCAGAAAGGGTGGGGTGACATTTTCCCACAATATTTTTTATCCCGCCAATGCTTTTACACCATAAAAGGCTTTAAAACCATTTTATCTGGGAAACTGAGATAACCTTCAACACCATTTATCTCTTGGTAGCACCTAATAGAAATCCATAGGGACCTTATTCTCCAATAGAATTAACAGAATCCAGGAATTAGCACCTGCAGACAACAATAGGAAGTTTGTTTGCTTTCAAAGCAGCTCAGTCACAGACTGGTTCCTGAGCAGTGCAGGGATGTGACAGTCCCTCTTGGTCCCAGCTCTCACACCTTACAACAGGGAGTTTGCCACGGTGCTCAGATACCAGTGAGGAGAGTTCATGTCACACCAGGAAATAGTTTCTTTGCACCTGAGGTTGCCACAAAAATTGGAAAGTTTCCCTTTCCTGACAAAATAAACATATACATTAAATGATTTCAATCTTAGCCAGAGGTTTAAAATAATGCATGTAAAGGAAAACACCCCTTATCCCTGGCTGCCTCCTGCGAAGTATTACAGAAATCACTCACTCTGTGACAACTCCATCACTTGGCCAGACGGGGCTCTGCCCCAGCCTCTTACATAAAAAAGGAATCTTCTTTACTTGGCCTTTTACTGTCTTCATTCCTCATAGAAAAAAACTTCCTTCTCTCTCTGCCATCCTTTACTACAGGTGACTTTCTGGCTTTTATATGGACCTTGCTATTCTGTATACTGTGGGTCCTCATATTCTATCACCTTCACTAGAACCAAATGTGTATTGAACATACACGCTGTGCAGAATGCTGGTTATCCAGTTTGTTTTAACAGAAAATGAGATGGAAAAATTCTTTACCAAGAAAATATAAATTTTGATATTTAGAAATTTAGAACATTTTTGGTCTCTTCTCCGAGAAATCTATTGAGCTGTCAAGCAATTACTGGAAAGCTGTTCTTTATAAAACAGTGGAGAAATACATGGCTACTGCCATTTTTATTAATACCAGTGTATTACAGAAGGGGATGGAGACAGTCTAGTTGGAAACCACTAGAATGTGACTTCAGTATTTAAACCTACTGAAAATATGTGCTTACTGCTATTTCGAAACAATCGAGAGGCAGAAAACCAGGACTGATTTTGATTTTTTGAGGTTGTCACTTTCACTGCATCCATGAGGATATACACTGTCATCTCAACCTGTACCAAGTCACCTGTTTTTATGTGGTATGCTTCTGTATCTCCTAACCACCTTCCTGTGGGCTTGAGTTCAGGCACACTGAAAAAAAATATGGTTAGTACTGGCTCTTCTCTTACTGCCTCTGATTTGGGGTGTTTGTTATAGTATCTGCACTGGTCACTGAACACTTGTACACTTTCTTAAAATCAGGGAAAAGAGCTGAGTTTCTATGTCCTCTACTGCTATCAGCTCAAAGTTTGTTGCTGGGGATGGGGGGGCAGGAAGGGAGATACACTGGGGAATAAGCCAAATCTCCAGTGCTAGTACTCAGACTGCTGATAATTTCTAACTATGTGGCCATTTGTTTTCTAGTATTTCTGGGACTCACGAAGCATACATGTTTTAGTTAAATGGAAAATAATCAAAAAAAGAAATCAGAGGCAATGCGCTTACCTCTTCAACCACAGGACAATCTTACCTGGTTGGTAGAAGTCAGGCGACAGCTCCCTGGCCACAGCTCTTGCGATGTCGCTCTCCTGGCGGGCAGCCAGTGCGGCCTGGTCCGCAGCGTCAGCTTTGGCTCTGGCGTGTGCAGTCCTGCAGGGAGCACAAAGGACCAGTCATCAGGGCAGCACCTTGTTAATTACACACTGCCAAGCAAACTGGCTGCAACCGAAAAGAAAGGCTAATTGTGATCTGGCCCTGCACCCGCACCAGCAAGTCTTACAAGTCCTCGTGCTGTGACTTTTCAATGAAGACCACATGCATGAAACTACCAATGTAACACCTCAATCCTTTCAAGAGACATGACAGATAAGCAAGTTCAGTACACCTTGATGTACCGAACTGGTTAAAATCCACTGTTGCCTTTGGTGGCCATTCTTCTCCCAAACAATGGAGAGTAGAATTAGAACAAAAGTCAACACGGTATTTGTAGATTTAATCCCTATGGTGGAATTGGATTATTAAGGGGCTGCCCAATGCTATGCTGGTAAAGAAGCTGCCTGGTGGGGTAGGGGGCATAAAACTCTGATTTGTCACACTGACCAATTTCCATGGTGTAAATACTCCATGGCCAATTTCAGGCTACCAGTGTGATGCCACTATGTAGCTGGGAAAAGATGCACACAGTCGGCTCCCACCAGCCTGCAGGAGCAGACCTCCAGGCTTGCTGTAAGAATGTGCTCAGAGGGGTTCCAAGGAGTCTATTTAGTGGCTCTCAAAGCACATTTCTTGGTTTAAAAAAAAGGAAACAGGTGGGAAGAGGAGGAGGAAATGGACTTCTTTCAGTCTTCTGTCCTCTCCTGGGCCCACCCTCTCTCACTGAGACCTCTTATACTTCTAGAGGACTGTGGCAAGGGACAAGGCCGTGGAAGGAACAATGGAACTTCTTATGGCAACAACAGGGACCTGTTTTGTGCCTGCTTGAGAAAAGGGGATTTGGAGAGTGTGACCGAGAACTTCAGGTCACCCACTTCCAAAGGAGAAGACTTTGTGCAGTTAATACTTCGATGATGATCACGAGCACCTACTTCTTACAACTTTGGAAGCTCTCTATTCCATTTCATGAGCACTAGGCAGGGCCACAGACAGCTACTAATAAAAACTTAAGCCTAAAAGTGCTTAGACTTATTTCAGAGAGAGGAGTTAGAAAATGGCACTGTGCCCTCGCCGGTCTTAGGAGAGAAAACGTAGATGGCAGCTGGAGGAGGCCGGCAGCTGGAGGAGGCCGGCAGCTGGAGGAGGCCGGCAGCTGGAGGAGGCCAGCAGCTGGAGGTCCATGAAGAAGAAACAGGACAGTGGGGTCTGCCTGAGCCCATGGGCTCACGGGTAGGAGGCCCCATTCTCCAGCCACTTTCTCCAACTGTGCCCTCTCATTCTGTGCTCTCATGGGGCTGCTTCACTCCTACTTATGACCTAGCCTGGAGGCTTGATGTAGTGGACATAAGCTTCATGAAGACTGAGATTTTAAAGTTCTGGACCTTGGCTATATGCCGAATGTATAGACTACTGCCGGGTACATAGTATTTCTTGAGGGCTTACTTTATAATAAAGGAATGAAATGGTTAAAAGTTATGTACACACGAATGGACTGACAAAAATATACAGACGGTAAAAAGATCAGTGGCTGCTAAGGGTCCAGGTGAAAGTGGGTGAGGAATGACAGGTGGCCCATGGGTTTTTCAGGGCAGTGAAACTATTCTGTGTGACACGTGTAATGGGGGGTACACGATATTGTGTGTTTGTCAAAGCCCACTGAATATAAAAAGGGTGAACCCTACTGTAAACCATGGATTTTAATCATACTAATGTATCATTATTGGTTTGTCAATTGTTCCAAATGCACCCACTAATGCAAGACATCAATAACAGGAATGTGGGTGTGGCGTATATGGTAACTCTCTCTTCTTTCTACTTAATTGTTTCTGTAAACTTAGTACTGCTCTAAAAAAAATAAAATCTATTAGTCAAAAAGGAGTGGATCAACACCGAATCATCAAAATTGTTCTTTCTGAATTCTGAAGGATGTTTTAGATTATCTCTGTCTAAAGGGTATCTTGAAATGGAGATAAAATTAAGAGGGTTATGGTATATTCCAAAACTATTGGCTTCATCACCCCACGGGGCAGTTGGCACAGATGACAGGTGATACTTCAGTCCCAGGAGCACCTACTGGGGGGGGCTCTGTTATGTTTTTTCAGTTTCCCAGAATCTCAAGACTTTTTCCCCAGGATTATTTTTCATGTTATCTGCTATTCTTAGAGTCCAATTATGTCCAGGTGTCATAATTAATGAAACCATAAGAGTACAGTTAGTCTGCCTTGTAATAAAACCTGTTAGCCTTTCACTGACAAATTCACAAAACTCAAGTACCAACAATTTATTCTGATACAATCACAACCTACCCCCACAGAGTCAAATAAAATAGTGGTATTATCTCTGCCACTTTTTTACAATATGCAAAACCGGAACACAGACAAATACAGCTTAGCCTTTCTGCAAATATATTTTGGAAGCAGAGCATCAGTGAAGCCTTAACCCTTTCCTGCTTTATATGTTCTTTCCTGTAAGACCAAACAGGGAGGGAGGACCTTTCCATCCAGTGCCCATCCCTATGCCAACGCTCCTGCACTGCTGGCAACGTGAGTCAAAACCATGCTCGACGCGGAAACCAGAGGTCTGTTTGGGAGCTTTCAGTAGCCCTGGATCTGATCACTCTGACTTTGCTCTCACCACCAGCTTTTTGTGGCCAGACCACAGATATGTCTAGATTTTGCCTGGGGGGGAAAGCTGGGCTTGACCCTGGCTCATGTCAGTGATTCATGGGTTCAAATCCCAGGCTCAGTTCTAGAGCAACACATGGTTCCTTTAATCAGCTTACTGGTAAGACATGCCATTGTTCACGGGTTGGGGGATGGGGGCTCAGGCTGGTCAGTCTGACAAGATGAGCTCACAGTGGATGACCCACTGTTGTTGCTGGTCATGTGGAACACACACACACACACACAGGCCCAAGAACCTTTCATTCAGTCAAGACTGCTGACACCCATAAATCGTCAGATCCTCACCAGCCTCCAAGGCCATCGTCACATATACTCCCTCCTCCCATAAAACAGACAGAAGTAAGTGAAAAGCAACTTTTTTCAGGCATTTGCTGTTGACTTTATTTTAGGGTCACATTTTTAGAAATAAACCTAAGTTTCAACTTGTAGAGAGTTACTATGTAGGAATGTAGCGATCCAGGTATCTGGGCAGCTGGTTAAGCTCATGCACCAGCCAAGAGACCCCTTCTTGGACAGGAGCCCTACAAAGGTCACCTGTGAATGGCCGAGCAGTCAATGTGGAATTTCAGAACGTTGGGCATTACCTGTACTTAAGAACTTAATTACAACTTATTTTTCCAAACATGTGGGCCCCAACTTCTATCTTTCCCTCTCTTATACATCTATTCACCGATATAGCTGATAACAATTTTGATCTGGAAATTATGATTCTGATCAAGGTAAAACTGCATACAATATTTACATATTTTGCTTTTTCTACTTTATATCGTCTTCCCCAAAATAAGCTGCTTCCACAAATATGCTGATTTTGATGTATTTTTAAATTTGTTATATATTAAGTCAAAGCCCGTTTACTGATCTGACTCTTGGACAGCAAAGGCTCGCAGGGGTGTCTGACCATCTGGCATCTCTGCACCACTTGGGAAGAAGGGTTGTCTTGGGCCACACATTATATTGTGACACATAATCACAAATAAATCTGTTTTAAGTAAATTGATGATTTTGCACTGGGCTGCATTCATAGCCATCCTGGGCTGCATGCGGCCCACGGGCCGCAGGTTGGACGCCCCTGATTCAAAGGCTATACATGGGATTTGATTAAGGACAGCGAATGCACAAAAGAATTGACCTCTTAGCTGATGGCAGCACCAAAACCCTTTGTGTCATCTGTGACGTCTCCCTTTGTCCCACGCCACATCCATGGTTGGCAAACACAGTTGGCATTTTCTTCAAAATACATCCCCAGTCCAACCATTTCTCATTCTTGTCACTGACCCTGCTCTGGTGACATCACCATCATGTCTCATGCCGGGTCACTGTGAAGACCAAACTGACCACCCTGCTTCTCTCCTTGTCACTGGCCATTTCATTTCCCTCCCAGTTCTCTTGAGCCGGGGCAGATTCTCTTGAGCCTGACATTAACCAATAATCTTTCCTGGGTTATGGCATCACAGAAAGCAAATGCAAAATATATGTCTTGTTAGCCTTCCTTTTAGACTGTGACAATATTCATTTACAAGAGGCCCAGATTTGTTAAACCAGTGATCCTGTGCCTATATTTATAACCCATTTTAAGAAAAAAATCGGTCTGCTAAGCAAGGTACACTTTTTTTTTTGATATTAACAAGATCTAGGTTGCTCCACAGATCTCAGGCAAAAACGCAGAACCTGATTTCCAAGTCATTGTGCCTTTAAGAAACTGGCCTTTTAATGTAGATTTGGTTCTTGGATAAGACTGACCTAGCAAGGCTCAGGATACATGACTCCGGCTAAGATACATGGGGTCTCTTAGATGTTTGTTCCAGCTTCTAACTTTCAATCTGGTATATACCTATTCACTGACACAGCTGATAAGCTGATAACAATTTCAATCTCAAAAGGACAATGATTCTGCTAAAGCTCCATCCTCAGTAAACTTGGGTTGGGAAGACAACTTCTTATGGACCAATCTTTACACTTACTCATTCTTGAATGTTAATTTTCTCCCAGGGTTGCCTTTTTTTTGTTTGTTTGTTTTGTTTTTTTTTTTTTTTTAAAGACAGGAGCTAGAATAGGAACTTGAAGACAGAAGTCTTAGGTCTTAGTTAAAAACATGTTACATCACCAGCAAACATTTGTCTCTCTTGCCAGGGCAGGAGTCCATGTCTTACTTTCCTAAGAGCAACATCAAGTTATTTAGATATAAAATGTAAACTAAGGGGCTTGATATTCCCATTGAAGTTTGGTATTTGATCTTTCAAAGGAGCAAACCCGCAGAGGTATGAGGTTACAGGCTTTTGAGAACACTAATACTCAGAGACGAGGCTAAGGCCC